CCACTTCACACAGCCATCTTGCCCGTGGGAAAACTATTTGTCTCGCCCTTCGGTTCGAATTCGCATCTTCTGAGTGTGGACCACGCTTGCCAGGGTTCAAGGCCGTAAAGTTATCTATAGTTCTGTCTTCAGTGCACTATTAAACTATCTAAATCTATTTGAACTAGGTATTTAGGTGGAGATATCGCTTCAGTGGACACCAGTTTATGTGGGCAAGGGTTTGACATAGTTGCAGTACTCGTTGTATAGTGATATTTTGTATGTGACGGTGTTGCGATCCTAGATATGCAGGTAGTTTGTGGGCCTCCTATCGGTTTTCATTGTTACTACATGTATATGCGTTACATAGGCATTTGCCCCTCTTCCTTCCCTGTCTTAAACGATCTGACCTTCAGCAAAACTGTCCTGTAAGACTATTACTTCAAGGGCTTTCCGAATCGTTTCGGCTCGTTTGAAGACCGTTTCCGTATGTCGTATTCATCATGACAAGCCTTGGTCAGGTCTTATGATGCTTTTAAGGGAAAACGTTACGGCAGAGCGTTACTCAGCTCAGGTTGTAATCTGTTAATGGCTGCACAGTTGGGGGCTGGAATTTAATACCTTCCGCTTGGAGACAGGAGCACGGACTTTGTAATTGGTAGTTGCTTGCCTATATGCAACTGCCAATGTTAACCCTAGGTTAAGGGGAGGGCTGCACGCAAAACATAGTACAGCAAAATACTCTTAATAATAACAACCAATGAATAGTTAATGGTACTTTGAATTAAGTGCCGAGGAAAAGAAGTAAAAAGGCAAAGTTCTCTTATAAAAAACATCAATGTTTCTCAGTGGCCATTTTGTAAAGAAACGTCATTTTCTGATCGTCAAAACTTTCAATTTGAATGAATTATTACGCTCAATAAACTAAGCATTTCTGTCATAAAATGTGGGGTTTTGAAACCCAGCTGACTTTGTGGAATAGCAATGAACGTTCTCAGTACACCCGGTAGGCGGCGCTATTTTTCTGTGTCGTCTCCCGTCTATTACTAATCTCCAAGCAGATCTTTCGGTGGCTGCAAAGACAGTGAATCAAATTTGCCTGCAGGCTGTATCCATTTGCCAGTTAACATTTCGGCGTCTGTAGACTCTCTCTAGATGGCCAGTTCTAACCATAACGCTTTTGCCACCAGCAGACATCTGCTTTGAGATTATGATTTACTTCTTATATATCTTCTGGTCATGACATACTGTTATTTTCCAGGAATAAGTATAAAACACATACTTACGCCTGTTCGGTTATTCCAGTCGTTCCCAGTAGACAGGTTGGTGAAGATGATAACGGTTCTGTCCTTAAGCGCTGCATGCCTTATTAATTTTAAGCCCCGCGCAGATGTAACCTGCCCATTTGCCGGTAATTTACCCCCGTTCTGAAGCGGCTGTCATTCTCAGAACTGCATTTTGAACCGCACTTAAACCAGTTATATTACCTCCTCCGCGACGTAGGGAGTGGGTCGTTACTTCTGGATACGTGACCGGCAGCATAAGCCAGAACTTTTTTTTTATATTCCGACAATGTCATGTAATCACAAGACGAGGTGACGGCACACTCAAGTCTGACCGGATGTATGCCACGCCTATCTTTGTATTCGAATCGAATTTGAGTTAATTTTGAGTCAAATTTGACTGCCAAACCAAGCCTACTTCTGAACGCCAGCGAACCACCAGCCAACCATGGCCGAACCTCCGGTTATGTTCCCGTCTTGTAATCACAAGACGCGGTGACGGTACACAAGTTTTTTTCAACTTATTAATGCCGCCACCTACACAAGGAAAAATGCAATACTCATTTTTACCTGAGCGAAGTGAGGACAGTCGTGTAAAGTCCAAGGGCACAAGATCGATGGCATGTCAGGACTCGAACCCGACCTGTTGGTTCCGAGTCGAGCACTCTGACCGCTACGCCACAAGACCCCACTGTATAACCTTCCCCCGAACACTAGCCGACCAAGGTTGGCTGAAGTTCGGGGGAAGTCTGACCAGATTTGGGCCACGTTTATCTTTCTAATTTCGAATTTTAGTTAATTTTGAGTCAAATTTGACTGCCAAGCCAAGCCCCGACCTACTTCCGAACACCAGCCAACCAAGGCCGAACCTCCCGTCAAAATCCGAGTGTTTTAAACAATCTAATTTTTTTAAACATTCGGCTGGGGGGAGCCGAACAGTAGCCGACCTGGCCGAGCACCAGCCGACCTTGCTCCCGACCTACTTGTCGTCTTAATAATCTTTATGTTAATAATCTTTATGTTGTAACAAAGTATAAAAAGTATACATCTAACATTGATATTATGTTTGAGAAAACTTAGTTGCTGTACGCACACTAATTTCGTTGTTTGTCAGTGTTCTGGCCCATTTCAACTCCTTCCTGATCTGACAGCTCATTGTGCGCAGAAAGTGGGAGTAATTTTGCCCGCCCACCGACTGGCAGGCTACACCTGTATCCCAGCCCTCTGCACACTAAATGGTCCGCTGATGGAGCGTCCTGCTGAGCCTTTCTTACCGGGACAGTCGCGCTTCTCTGGCGTGCCCGCTCGCGTGGAAGCGGCGCAGCGGGGTAGGGTTACCCTTTTAGCCGCTCACGAGTTTACCGGGCGCCGGTCCCGAACCCCTTGACCCTACCTGTCTACTCTGTGTCTCTTCCTTACTCGCCCAGAAACTAAATTGGTCCTAATAATGTACGTGAAAGGGGGGGCAGAGCTCTAGAAAATACTGTAATTTCTATAAACTATGTTCTTCTTTTCAGAAAGCTTTTTTAAGCTAAGAAAACGCAACGTAGACTGAAGACGCCAATGATATATATTGAACTCTACGTACAAATTGGGACCAAAAGCGTGCACACGCTAATGCTATACATGTACTTGTTACTTTTCGGGGAACCTATTAATTAGCTGTTGTCTCAATCTTAACTCACAGAAAAAACCGATTGCAACAGTAAAGATCTCTCTAATAGTTGTGAACAAAAAACAATTCAAGAAATTTCTGTAAACCGTGAAAAACTTCAAATCTGTCGCCATACAGTTTTGCATTCGGATATAAACCTTCTGGCAAATGTTTTTTTTAATGCGATATATATTGCATTTCCAACGTAACATGCATGTACGTAAACGAGTGTAAATCATAAATACGTACTCGTACGTGTTTGTTAATAACAGCTCATTGAGCGATTTTTCCGTTCTCCATCAACCTGTTTCCTCCGAGTTGTCCAACGGGCGGATTAACTTTTCAACAATTGTCAAGCGATGGGACGGACAATTATCTTACGGAAGCCGTGCCTTTTCAGGCGGCCAGCGGGGAGGAGGCGCGGGTCGGGCGGGGAGAATGGCGCTGGTGACCCGGCAGAAGTGGTGGGTCTGCCCCGGGCTGGGCTGTCCATGAGCATAATATGTACAGAGCAATCACACGTCACACCATGTCTGTCAGCGGGCAATAGTTTGTGTCTGACGAGCTCAAATGTCTCCCAAAGATAGTCTTTCAAAGATACATGGTTAATTTTAAGTTTCAGAGGGACAATTTAACTGATTTTGTGCGTGAAAGAAATTCACATCTAAGAATACGTGACAGTGGAGTATGAAGACTGGCTTACTGTACAACTACTAAACTTTACAAATTTCTAGAAGTAAGGCTGTAAGCTAGAACTGAAACTCTGACGACTCGATTATAACTAGTTGCATTATCTAGGCATCATTACTAGACAGCGTTAAACAATAAACATGTTTGGAGTTAGATGTGCAACAGTTAGGTGTAACAGGTAGTTCGCTGTAATATAGCCAGCTGCATATGAATTTCTACTGAATATCCAGATGTGTATCAAGACCTATTTCATATGTAGCAGTTCCAGAACAACCCTGTTAAGTTTTAATCGCTCTTTCGTTCGACTAAGCTGAACTTTAAATCATCTAACTTTTCAGACTTAGGAATAAGTTTTTATGTTAGATGGGTCTTTGAAATAATGATCATTGTTTTTGTTTTTTTCAAAATAAAATAAACTGCTTTATAAAAAGGAAATTCCTGTGGAATCTATACAGTTTGTTGCTGGACTTACATTGTACTTAATAGCAGTTTGGTCAGTTCCTGAAAAGTTCTACCAAAGTTTATAACAAGTCAAAAGTGTGACTGGTTACGCTAATTAGCGTAATTCGTTGATGAATTTTCATTTTTTAGTTAATTTTTTTCATACAAGTGCTATTTCACAAAGATGGAGCCTTGTGAGATTGTAAGTTGTCGACAAAACAAATAAAATCGCCCAGACGCCATGCCATGACGCACGGCCTAAAAATGTACGTTCTAACCGCTAATACGTCTTTAACCACCATGTGACGATGTAAGTTCCTTGTTCAGATAGGTAATGACAGAACGCGAGTGTGGTCCATGGACCCCATGTAGAGGTACACAAAAGTTTCAACCGTTTTCTGCCAAATTGTGGTCCCTAATTTCACCATCTTTAAGCTCCTAAACTGTCGAGCACCTGCGAGAAAATGCAAAAGGCTTGACACAAAGAAAGCTGGTTTTCCGAAACTCGCTCTCTTTGTCTCTATGTCAGTATGTGAGGATGTGCTATTACTCTGACAGCTCAACCTGAACGACACAAACTGTACGTAATTGGTCACTAATGACTCACTTCAGTCAATCGTCCTATTCAGGTGTCAATCAAATTCTCTGGCAAGCTTGAGACGTCACAGACTGTTTGTTGTGAGTTGGCGTACTATGTAGGTACAAGTGGCAGTTACGACATACAGATAGTTGATAAAAGTTCATCACTTCTGACAGAAGGTTAGACAATGAGTTGGCTGAAGTTTGGAAGCGACGCGCCAGTGTGGCGTGAGTTTGACAGAAATTTCTGGCATGGTGGCAACACTGACGGTTGGCGCCAAAACTTCAGCGTCGTCTGCAGCAGTGGCGAAGTTTCTAGTGTCCCAGCCCTCCCTCCTGTAGCAAGTCTCGCATCTTGTGCGAGTATGAGCGGCATGCTGGCTACGCCATGTTTCTCCAACACGCTGTCTGGATCCTGGGGTGCACAGACACAGATAGCTAGAAGTCCGTCTGCGCTGGACAGAACAGATGGGACACTTAGGGACGCGGTGACAGGAGTACAGGGGACATCTGTCACCGAGGTAACTTTAGAAACACGACCGTTTTGTTCTTCACATCGTGACAGAGACGGACTAGACGCTGCCGGAGATACTTCGAAGAACAAGAAAGTGGAAATGTCTTCAGAACAAGAAGGAACCACTCAGAACTACAGGAGAATACTTGTAAAAGGTAGGCTTAAAAATAAAAGTTTTGTTATTTTCTTTCTATTGGTTTGTTATGTTTTCATTTTTTTCCAAGGCCAAGTTAAGATTGTGTAATTCGGCCTGGAAAGTTTGACCCTTTTAACTAACTTGCGTTTGAACTTTCAGTGTCTTAAAGTTTCATGTTTTGATTTTTTTTTGCTTCCCTTTTATTTTTTCTATATACTTTGCTAAATCTATCCGTTCACTTCGCCGCAACGTAAGGACAGTTAAAAGGGCCACATTCTCCAGCACTTTGGTACTTTTGTATCGCCTTTAGCTTGTACATTACACACGTCAAGGTAACAGTATATCTACTGGTTCTGTAACACGATAAAAGTTGGTCTGGTAAACCAAAATAAGCTAAGTCTACATTCAACTTCAAGACTTTTTCCGTAAATTAGTTACTTTCTTCCTATCTTGTGTGCAAAATACACACAGACAAAGCAATACATACTAATAAGATATACAGAAACGTCCTGTTTTTTTCTGTTAAGATATATGAAACGTATATCTTCTGTAATACTGTTGTTAGAAGTTTGCGTTGATTAACCTTGATGACAATGACGCTACCGTGTGCTTATATTTTGACAATTTGTACCCTCTGTGTACGTGTTTGTTGGAATGTCAATATCGCCAAGTGGGTATATGCACTTACTACTACGCGTTACACTGAAACCCGGCATCCACGCAAAAGTACATGCAGACCTTTCGATTGAGAATTTATTGAAGAAAGTATTAATCACTCACTACATGATCGTGTGATGAATACATATCAAACTCCGCAATTGCAAATTCAACTGATAATATATGCACTGGTATCTGGACTTCTGTTTGTCGATGCAAAACCTGGCATGGATACTTCTTACTCCTTGTCTTATTACATGTACATTACTGTAACTTTGTATTTCTTTCTTCTTGCTGTATCTATCATTATCATTATTAGTATATACTTATTTTTTTGTATTCATTGCTATTATCAATGTTAGATTTCAGGTTTCCTTACTTTATGTTGTTCTTTTCGTCGTATTTTGTCCATTGCACGAGGAGTTGGCTATTTGTAACGAATCTAGTCGGATTCTTACAGATTTTTGATTTGAACTCTGTGAAGACTGAAGTCAAACAAATGAATCAATCTTGTCTACGATTAATTTAAGCTTTTCTTCTTTTTTTTAAAATCTTTTGTACGTATTACAAGGAGCTGCCGATTTCTGCTATAGGCTCCTTGCCGATTTTAATTAAGTTGAAATCTTAGAAGTCTAACAAAGTAATCAATCTTGTCTACCATCAAGCTCCTAAGGGTGTGGTAAAGGAGATGGTCTTACCCCGGGCACTTGACATCGACCGGCCGAAGAGAGCCCGGACGGCGTTCACCGCTGACCAGCTGAAGGACCTGGAGAGAGCCTTCCGGGATAGCCAGTACGTGGTGGGACAGGACAGGACGGAGCTGGCCAGGCAACTGGGACTCACGGAAACACAGGTCAACATGTTATACATGTACAAATATCACGTCCTTTACATAACCGTTCGTTCACTTTTATGGTAGTGTACGTTCACTTAGGGCAGTCACATTTCCAAGCCGGGGCCCGGCCGGGTTAATATTTGCGTGAACGAAAAATAAACAATTTGTATTAAGAGTATACACAAATAGTGCTCATGGTTAATTTTCTAAAACTTTTTGTGCTTTGCTGTCTTATATCATAATTTTCGTTCCATACGACTGCCCGGCCGGGCCCCGGGTTGGGAAATGTGACCGCGCCTTCAACATGTTATACATGTATAACGTCTTCTTCATAACAGTTTGTTGATTTTATGGTAGTGTATGTTCACTTAAGTTAGGTTACTCGTGTTCTGGTGATCAGAAAACACTTTATTTCGTTAGTTAGGCCATGTTGATTTGATTACATGGATGACATCCGCGCACGCATGAGTTTTCGTCCGTTTCCAAAAAAAAGAGAGTTTTCGACCATACTGTAAATCGTACAATATAAGCGAATATATCTGTCGTATGTTGCATGAAAGTATTGGAAAACGATACTAATGTCTTAGAATGCCGAAATCAATTCATGTTATTGAAAATGAAAATGTGAAGAAATGAAGAGTCTATTATTATTTGCCATACAATACTCATGTGTGCATAGTCATTTGTTCAACCTTCATGACCACGTAGATTTTATAATGAAATTTTTTTATTCGCATGCTCGCGCCAGTTTTGGGATTCCCATAAGATGTCCATATAATCAAATCAACATGGTCTTAGTAACAAGAAGGATCTCTTTTCTGAAAACTGACTGAGACCAAAATCAGATCATAGCTTATCTATATCCGTCCCAACAAAAGAAGCAACTTTGTTCATCATTAACATTTTGTTCAACAGGTCAAAGTGTGGTTCCAGAATCGGAGGACAAAATACAAGCGTGAGAAGGCACGGGAAGCCGAGAAGACGCAGGCCAACTCCGAGACCCTCGCCGCACTGAACATTTGGAAACTCCTGCAAACTGCGCCGCCTAGCGACGTTCTGCCGCCAGTGCCCACTCTCGCGAGATCTCCGTCCGAGGCGCGAGATCTGGGAAGAAGGGAACAACCTGTCGGTGGCTCGCCGTGTGCCACACGGCTCGAGGGGAATTGTGTTCCTGTGTGTACCGTTACAGAGGGGGGTTGGCAGCCTTTAGTACACCGAGATATCCGTCCACAAGCAGCTATTCCCCCGACGTGGCCAAATCTCTCACTGTTCTCGAGACAAAACTACGACAATGTTCATTAAAGATCATGCCGTTTAATTTAATTAATAGTTGTGATGAAGGTTAAGCCTTTAGCTTAGGTATTGACAAGCTGTAAGGAGTTTGTTTACGGACATGGATGTTTCTTTGTGTGGCTGCATTAGCATTAGTAACTTCAGTTGTTAAAAAGGAATACTACCTGGAATAGTTCGGCTTCACTGTTGTGTATTGGGTACTTTCTGTAAATTCACAAACGAGCCAATTTTTGGCAAATTTGATATTAAATTCTTGCTCAAAAATGGTGAGAATCTAGCTTCATGTACGTGCTTTTTTTTATTGTATGTGCCTGAGTACTACTACTCGTACATGTATATTGGTTTCGTTTTGCAGTAAGCTACTTATCTGCTATGTGGCGCTGTGACATGGTGGATGTGACATCGTTGCCCACCCTCTCTGATGTTCCAAACATTTTGCGCTTTCATTCTGAACACAATATCAATATTCGATGATTATAGTAGGTTGGTTGCATTATAACATCATTTGTACATTACCTGAACCGGCCTGTACAAAATCCGCAGAAATAAACATTAACGCGCAGATTTAAGTGTGCGTCTGTTGCCACAATCAAAACACGGTGTTGTCTCCGTGGCCTCAATTCAATAAATTGACATCGCATGGAACCTTTCGGTGGCAGTAAAAACAGTATCAAATTGGCCAGGCAGTATCCATTTGCCAGACAGTTACCCACGTCTGGGCGGGTGAGAACTAACCGTAGCGATTTCACAGCCAGACATCTGCTTGGAGCTTAATAGGACCAACAGCTGACTCACTCACTCACTCACTCTCTCCCATAGCTTAGTCAGCCGTCGGGGCAGCATGATGTTTGGCCAAGTTCTTCCACTGCTGGCGGTCCTCCGCCAGTCTGGCCATCTGGTTGGCTGTTACACCAGTCCACTCTTTTAAGTCTGTAATCCATGACCGACGGGGACGTCCCCGCGGCCGTGCGCCTTCCACTTTACCCTGGAGAACTGTATGTGACAGTGTGCCTTTGGCCCTAGACACATGTCCGAACCACTGTAACTTTTTCTTCTTAACTGTGGCCAGGAAGCTGTCGAGTGGGCCTTGCAAGGTGTGGATGCGTTCCATGACCTCTTTGTTTGTAGTGTGTGATGTCCAGTGAACTCGTAGCAGTCTGCGATAACAGTTCATCTCAAACGCATTGATTCTCTTCACTATAGCTGCATTCAAAGTCCATGTCTCAGCACCATACAAGAAAATAGATAGCACAAGACAACGTAGTAGGCGTATCTTTGTTGGCATGGAGATGCTATGACTGCACCAGATGTGTTTTAGCTTTAATTGACAGTGCAAGGGTTGACTTGGCAATCCTGACTTTCACCTCTTTGTCTGAGCTGCAGTCTTCTGTCTGGACAGAGCCGAGGTATGTAAACTCACTGACCTGCTCCAGTTCTGTGCCTCTGACTGTGACTTGGCCATTTGTATCAGACGGACCAGATACAAGGCATTTGGTTTTCTCCAGACTAATCTCCATACCATACCTCCTGCTTGTGAAGTCCAAGCTGTTGATCTGGGATTGCTGATCCACTCTTGACCCATCCAGCAAATCCACATCATCCGCAAACTGGAGGTGGGTTATGGTGCGTCCTGCCAGTTTGATGGGTGCTACTTTTGGTGCTAAGGCTTCTCTCATTATGTTCTCTAAGAATATATTGCAGAGTGTCGGAGAAAGAAGACATCCCTGGCGTACTCCAACTGACGTAGGGAAGCAGTCACTGAACTCCCCCCAGTCATGACTGTGCTTTGTGATGCTTTGTAGAGCGCTTCAACGCACTTAACAATCCCCCTGGTAATGTTGAACCGGCGCATCACTGCCCAGAGACCGTCCTGCCATACTCTGTCAAAGCACTTCTTGTAGTCCACTAAAGTGTGGTAGACTGGTTTTCCCGAGCTCTCTGTACTTTTCGCAGATCAGACGGAGATTGAAAATCTGTTCAGCGCAGGACCTGCCTTTCCTGAAACCGGCTTGCTCTTCAGCGAGTATTTTCTCAGCCTGTGGTTGGAGCCGGTTCAGGATGACCTTGAGCAAGATCTTGCTTGGATGAGAAATTAGACTTATAGTGCGGTAATTCTGGCATTGCCTTAGATTGCCCTTCTTTGGGAGAAGGATAACTACCAACAGCTACTGCTGTAAATCTATATGTATCGTATTCCTACGTCATAATGTATAAACGTTTTGAACAGCGATCAGATCGTTTTGGATCCTTGTGTATCAAACCTCTGCACCCAACACGCGATCAGGGAGATCAAGGGTGACCCAGTGTGCTTGGCCTAATTCTGGTGGACACCAAACGTTCATGTCTTCCCTTTCTTCACTGAAATACTTATGGAGCAGCTTAGCCGGCAAGGGCATTTTGCCCTCTCGGCCATTTCAGTGGCTCCGCCTCTGAGGCGTGGGCAAAAATATGGGACTGAAGTCATGTGACCAATTGATGTGACGTCATATCCAAGATGGCGGTGGACTGTGTTTTTCATTGAAAATTTCACAGTCCTCGAATTCGACTTGATTTTCTCGCTACCGTGGTAGATTTAGGGAAACTTTTCTTCATATTTCAGGAGTAGCGAGAGCATAAGAAGCCATACAGGACGATAAAAGATGAGTGAGCTTTCTCAGGATGAGGTAGGTTGTTTTATTTTGCTGCGTTGTTGCGTTGGCCCTTTGTCAAAATAACCTGTCGAGTCACCAACGCAACAGCTGATGATTCGACACTTCCTCCCTTTTCAGAGGAACTACTTTGTCCACACTGCTTACAAGACATGAGTGTGTACACGTATTAGAAGCCCGCTCAAAGTGTTCAGAAACAAGCAGGAACCCGTTTGGGCTCTTTCTAGGGAAAAGCCGACTGTTTCAGTGTTTGGGACACATCGGTCAGCGATGCCATGGGGTGGGGGGCAACTCACGAAATAAAAACTATACTCGAATTTTTACGGAATAGGAACTGCAACAGTATTTTCTGACTCGAGTTTGCCCACTACACAATGACGTATATACGTATTAAATCCGTGTTATGTTGGCGAGGAAATAGTAAGCCCTACAAATAGTAGTTGAGCCGGGATTTGTATATTGTCGTGCATCATGTCACATGATTTGTGTCCTCCTGTGTCGTGCATACCTGCCCGACCCTGACCTAGTCCTTCAAGCCCTTTTGTGTCTCTAGAATATGCTGTTTGAATCACTCTAGTCTAGGTGACAAGGTCCCTCTGATACGTCATCTGGATGCAGTATGCAGTATGCAGTGGATACTGTACATACCTGCCAACCATCAGTGGTGATACAGACACAACAGTGCAAGCTGCACAGACAACAACCCAAAACAAATCAGCCTGGGTGCTAGAACCCCTGTGCTTGAAATAGAGGAAGAAAGTTTACAGATCTCGTTGAGCCCATGTCTGTGCCCAACACACAGACCCTCAAGTTGGCCCACTTCCCCAAATTGTCTATCCCAGCGCAAAATATAAATTAAAATTAGTGCCAAATCTGTGATTGGGGCATTTCCCAGCTGAAGGTAGTATTGTGTCTCATGGGGTCTGGGAAACAGGCGAAAAACAAATCAGCCATTTCACAAAATATCTCCTAAAAAAATCCCTTAAAAACTTCTAAAAGCTCATCAGAACTACAGCATACAAAGTTGCTCCTTTCATACATGTGTTATGTTATACAATGTACCATGTAATGTTTTGGATATGATAAGTAAGATAGCCTTAATTTTGCTATTTTTTTCTACCCTCCCAGATGCGCCGGAGACGGCTGGCACGTTTGGCTGCAGGGGGTCTTTCCACATCCCCACCCCAGGGCTCGGGCACCACCCCCTCCCCCTCCAGTAGCACCCCTACCTCCCCAGTCCAGGCTGCCAGCAGCCAGCTCACTTCTCCTTCCCAGAGTCCCAGCAGTCAGCTGACATCTCCTGCCCAGGGTGCTCAGTCCCCGCTGCAGTCTGGGTTTCTCACGCCGGGAGATCGCTCCCCGCGGACGCCCAGTTCTCCCACAACCCCGGTCACGCCTACGGGCGCACGGCCGAGACAGAGGGCTGGGGCTAGCGCTACATTAGACTACGGTTCTCAGTCCTCTCAGAGTCAAAGCATGGATACTGATAGTGAAAAAGGGTAAGTTATTTACCATCTTTCAAGTATTGGTATTACATGTACATGTATATAGTAGTACAGGGCTCAAAATCTTTCCCTTTTTTTGGCATACCAGCATGCACAGACAAATTTTACCTGCACAGTAGAACCACTCAAGTTTAGGCTGGAAGTATGGATCATACTCAACTAAAATACAGTACTGTAAACATGGGAAATAAAAATCCACACACACCTACATTTGTATATAAATCCAGTACATAAACTAGTGCAAGTAATAGGTGCAGATAGAAATACCTGCACTGCTCCAATTTTACCTGCACTAACCAGCACTTGTATTTCAATTGAGCCCTGCATGCAACTGACAATGTGAGCTGTAATGAAACCATAATTCATAACTACATGTACATGTACTTACTGTTGTTCTATGCCTGTTGTTTCTCCCAGGACCCTGTCCCAGATAGATGTGGACTCAGGTATAGAGAACATGGAAGTGGAGGAGGTAGATAGAAAGGATGGGGCTGTGTCCCAAAGGGTGAGTTTCTCATAGTTTCAGGCTTAACACAACTAGATATGCCAGTTCATGAAGTATCACTTTCATTCTCATTTTAGCTGCTAGCATTATGCCAGCATAGATTACTTGGATGTGGGCAGTTACCTACTACTACTATGTTAATAGATTATTATGACTTAAAATGATGTAATCTTTACCTTTTGTCTGACCCTTACCTCTTCCCTCAAGACCTCAACTTCTCATGAATAAAGAATAGTCCAAATGTAAACAAACAAACTACTATGTATGAGTCAAACTTATGAAGAAATATCTACTTTGATTGTTGATCTTGAATTTGGTGGAAGGGCAAATCATGATCCAAACCTAAAATGTGAGGAAAATAAATCTTGTTACAAATCTAACTGCTCTTCTGTCTGATGTTAGGAGCCTAGCTGTAGTTCGGAGCTGAATGAGGAGCAGCTGCTAGCGATCGTGTGTCGGATCCTGCGGGTCTCGTGGAAGAAACCAGAGCAGGATGTCGTCTTCCTCCCTGGTCTGGCTGCTGAGTTTAAACAGGACCCGAAACAAGGTGGGAACATGACATGTCGTACTGTACCCGGGCTCTAGCCAGCACCCATCGGTTAAATCATGTACACTGCTCATGTAAAATGTATGCAGTTATACATTATAGATAGCCACACACTATTCTATCAAATTAGTGCACACAGTTTACATGGCTATTACACAACTTTGAATTACAATATTCACGTCTTCTGTGAAATAAACGATCAAGTTAAAAGGAAGGGAAGTTAATCAAGATATACTGTCTTTGGACAAACGACAGCAGTGTTGTATCTTACTCTAAAATAGACATGGGAACCTTATGAAAATGATTTGTGATTGAAACTGTGATGATGCTTCTTTGCTGACAATTCTTCTCCTTCTTTATCTCTTCAGTATACAACAGTCTCCAGGACCTGGTCAGTCAGATCTTAGTGGAGGTGTTGACCATGCCTCAGGCACAATCCCACAATCCCTTTGCGAGCCTGACGGCCACACCCTCCCAGTCCCTCTCCAGCATCACCAGTAAGAAGTTTGGGACCAGTCCCTTCCATGGGTAAGTCATATTTTTATCATACCTGGGGTGCAATAACATTTGATAGGGGTGTACTACTGCTTTAATTTGGCCACTATATCTAGCCAATGTAGGTGGCATTTTTGCAGTGAGAATAGTACCACCCACATTGGCTACGTGTAGTGGCAAGAAGCGGTACTCCAGTCAGAAGGTCTGAGAAAGATGTCTGACCTGTTTAAATAAAACAGAAAAAAAGACAGGCATCGAGAAATGAGCAGGTGAGAAACAATACTGGTTGTATAAAAAAGAAACCCCTAACATCCTACATGTATGTTTAAGCAGCCGATTGAAAGTATTTTTGAATGCTTGGATTGACAACTCTCCATCTTGCTCTTGGCAGTACATCAGCTGCAGCAATGGATCGTAGTCCAAGCATTGAATTCATGGCTGTACAATACTTCTGATAGAAGATCATAAAAAAACTTAAAGTGTTTCTGCTGTTCCAGTTTGCCCAGCCCTGGTACAGAAGGTGCGACGGCCTCAGCCAGCTCCTCCTCCTCCACCAGTGACAGGTTCCACATCCCTGCCTGCAGGGAGACAGACATTCTCAACTATCTACTCGAGTGTTTTGACAGGGTCGGCATGGAGGAGAGGACTGCTCCTAAGGTTAGTTTATCTTTTAAAAGAAAGACAAAGGTAAACTGGAAAGAGTACAGAACCAAACTGCAAGAACAACTATGAATGGGGTGTAAGTATTACGGAAATGAAAACAGACCTACAGTGAGTGTCACTAGAAGGCAAATAATATCCAGATTATGATGTACAAAATGACTGATAAACTGGTGGATGTACCAAATACAATAGTCATGTACATGTACTAATAAATAAGTGCCTAATACACCAGCCTTCCTATTCTATCAATGAAGGATTAAGGGGTTCAAAAACTCTTTTGTTTTTAGATCTATCATAGAGTGGAACTTATAGCTGCCATCAAGTGCAGTATACGCATCATCAGTAGATAGCTTTAAACAACACTTAGAGTTAGATGTGCGATGGTTGATCCAAAAAGAACATTTTAAAATGACTATCCAAAGTCACCTGAGAAAGCTACAATATGTATGAAACATGTTCTTTTTTTTCCCCAGCGGTGTAGCCAGCCGCCCGTGTGTTCTCTTCTGAACGACCTGCGGACCCAGTGCTGCACTCACGCCATCCTGGTGCTACGAGGGGCGTTCACGGAACCGCGCGCTGCGGGGAAACAGTCGTACCTGGTCCCGTACCTGCTGTGTCGTAACCTGCCGCGGGGGTTCCTGCACGAACTGGTCATGATGGCTTGTCAGGACCCTGAAGACTTCCAGGGGGTGAGAATCATTTTAAGATAGGGTCAGGGTAAATCTCTACAACACTGGTCACTTATGACTTGAAAAGATATTTTGTAAATCTAGATAACTTGATAGAACAAAAAATTTTGTACTGAAACTTTGAGCTGAAATATTCAAATGGTATTGACTTGTGACATAACTGAACAACACTGCTCATAAATCTTGGTTTAGTTGATACAACTGGAAATAATACAGAGTTTCAAGACATTTCTACTGCTATCCAGCAATCTTCATCAGTGAAAAGAAAAGGTAGTTTACATTGTACCTTCTGAACAGCCGAATAGCAGTTGAAACATCTGAAACCTTGTATTATTTCCAGTTCTATTAGTTGATTAAAACATGATTTACAAGAAAAATATCACAGCTAATCAACCAATTGGGTAGATTTTTAAAACTGTCAAAAGGAAGGTACATATTATACCCTGGAAGAATAACCTTCATAAACAAAACAGTGACACTTGTTACTTTCCTGTTGCAGGTTATTGGGGTCGTGCTGCAAGACTTACAACAGACCATGTCTGAGTTCTCTATGGAAAACGACAATTACAAGTACCCTCTCATGGTGAGGTTTGGTTGGTGTAGTTTTCGCACTTCATCATTGTGCTCTGTCTTTTAGTAATTTGCAGCTTGCCTGCAACAATATCACTGTGGGTTTTTTTTGTGGATCAATACAAAACGGGTTCTGTGTTGCTGATGTGTCTGTTCTGTTTTCCTCCCACACTGTAGGCCCTGACAGAACTGTGTGAACTGCGGAAGGGGACGTCCTCCCACAGACCTGTCTGTAACCTGGTTAGTAACACACTCTTGAAGAACGTTTAAGTAAAAAATGTGCCTTTGTGAAAATGAATCAATAGTTTCATAAGGTTGGTAAGTCACTGAATAAAGAGACTTGCAATGTGATCCAGTTGGAATTGCCCTGAGGAAGTTGGCAGACGGTCACCGAAACATCGGCTGAATAAAACACTGTCTTGGTTGTGTAAAAAAAGTCATTGTATTCTGTATCACGTTACTGTAGCAGATTACTGTAGAAGGTTGCTGTGGCATTAGTTTCCAGCTGTGTGTTGTAGTTTTGATGTGGTATTTTCTTCTGTCCTGTCCAGATTGCCCAGCAGACCACCTGGCTCCCTGAGACCCTGACCCAGGCCGGGGGGAGGGAGATACAGAAACTCTCCTTCCTCGGACAGTTCCTCAGTCTCTCTGCATTTGCTGAGGATGATGTAAGTTTACATAATAATACAATTACCTTATATTGAATTTCAAGTTTCAGACTTTGACACTTTATTGAATAGCTATTAGAGGTTTGTCTGTTTGTATTGATTGATATATATCGATTTGTTTGTATTGATTATGTTCTGTTGTGAAGACTGGAAAACTAGCTTGTCCAAAGCTGAAGGGGTCACCCAGTTGATGCAATGAATAGATAGATGTTTACTGTGCAAATCATTGAATTCCCTCATTTTATACAGGATATGAGTTCGACAGATTTTAGGCAAGGGAAAAAGAAAAAAATTGTTATGATGTCAATCATTGTGACTAACAAGCATCTCCCTTTCAAACAAAACCTGTAGTGCACAATGGCTAAGTCGGATCTTTTCTTTAGTTTGTCTTATTTAGATCATTACTGATGAAGTGAATCTATGTATTTTCAGCCTAAGATAGCAGAGAGGTTCTTTGCTGGCCCAATGCTGACCCAGGACAGTACCCGACTCATCAACAGTTCATTACAACAAGCACTGGACTTTGCCAGGGTGAGTACTGCTAGAGTTTGTATAGCCATAGGAAACAATAGACACTGTCATGTCCTGTTGAAAATCATTAAACCATCAAAATCAACACATTTATTGATTTATCTATTAAGATTTGTGGAAGGACTGACATAATAGGTGATTATCACCTTTTCAAGATGTTAACCTGGAGACCAGACTGTAACTATAACTTGTATAAGGTTTGATCCAGGAAGGGCCCTGCTCTTTTGTCGGTGGGATCTTTAACATGCTCAAGGTGTGACTATCCAAGAAGCTACGCACTTATTTTCACCTGAGGCAAGGAAGAAAAAGGTATAAAGTGACTTTTTCAAGGGCACAACACTGAGGCCTGCTAGGGATTTGAACCCAGAACCTTCAGATTCTGAGTCGACAGCCCTAACCACAACACCACCTCATGAACTGTTGTTATGTTTCTGCTCTGTTTAAGATAGCTTTCTTATGTTTTTATCCAGGGAGAAATGTTTAAAATTATCCACAGTCTGCTGGTGAACAGTGAGACGAGAGATGCCATGATGACGTACCTACAGGCAGTCATCGGTCGGAACCACAAGCGAGCACAGATGCAGGCAGATGAACGGATGGTCGCACAGGACGGCTTCATGCTCAATATCATGACTGTCCTGCAACAACTAAGTGTTAAGGTTAAGATGGACAAGGTAGGAAACATTTGATATACGGTATATGCTTTTTCACCCGGGGTACCAGCTCAACCACTAGTTGGTTGCACAAAGGTCAAGGGAGATCCAACCCAAGAAAACACACATGCTAAAAGTTAAACCAAAAATTGTGACTGTTACAACATCAATTGTAACGTCCAATTCCAGTTTTCGAATTACATGTATTTTATAAAGCCTGTGTAATAACCGTCAGAACCCCGTGTTTTCTAGTCATTGAGACACAATGAAATCTGTGTGACTGTAAATAATTAACTTGCTGTTGATAGTTATTTTGAGTTATTTTGATGATACTTGTAACGTTGTAACTCTGCGATCAGTGAAAATAAATGTTTGTAAATTTGTTTTTCTGTACTTTCTGACCAGGTGGATACCCTGTACCCTCACCATCCCAAGTCACGCATCGACCTGTCTGAGGAGACAAGACTGAGATGTTCATCTGAGGAGTGGAAGACATGGCAAGAAGAACTTAGTATGTATCCTCTTCTATTGTGTTCTGGAATGACAGTACAGAGATTACAACAATACAGGCCACTAGGAAAACATACCTAATGCCACAAAAATATATTATTAAAAGCATTGAGTTGGACATTGAATCTGCTAAGAGATTCAAGACATTGGACAATATTGAATGTCTACTATCTATGAATTATCTAAATTTACAGTGAGAGACTAGTATAGCTTGAAATGTTCTTCATTGACATTCGTTTAGACCCTTGTGCCTAAGTGCAAAAATGACATATCGGTATTTTCTAGGTGGAAAATTTCACATTCAAAATATTCTTAAGTGCAAATCTTGAAAAATCATGTGCAATTTGCACATTGCATCTGGGCATTTCGAGCTCTGCCTTCACTTTAGTGATAAAATGAATAGATGAAGTAAACAATTTGCATTTTAGACAGAGATGCAATGCTTACATTCCTCTCTGTTGTTTCCTTCCACAGATAAGGAGCCGTCTAACTGGGTGGAGCCCAAGTTTCCCACAGAATGTTTCTTCCTGACGCTCCACTGCCACCACCTGGCCCTGCTGCCTGCCTGCCGTAACTACATGCGCAGGGCACGCGCCATCAGAGACCTCCAGCGGGCGCTGGAGGAACTGCAGGCTCAGGAGCCCCTGTGGAGAAACCTGCCCACAGCCAACAGACACAGGGAGACGTTAAAGAGATGGAAAGCACAGCAGAAGGTACGCTTTAGTTTCATTAAGTTACATAGTTTTGTGAGCTGAAAATTTATATTTCTTCCTTAAAGCTGCAGGTCCTTGTAAATATTGTTATATCTCCTGAAGTAAATTTCTTGTTACATTGTCCTTGTTGGAACAATTAATAATAAGTAAGTCAGAGTTTCTGACTAGAGAACTGGTTCTTGCCGGTATATGTAGCCACCAACATTGGCTACATATCACTGTAAGAAGCAGTACTCCAGTCAGAAACTCTGAGGAAGATGTCTGATAGGCATCAAAACAAAAGCCTGGTGAGTGACAGTACTGGTTGTGTGAAAGAAAACCGCAGTATCCTAATGTACTACGGTAACTATTATTTTTAAATTGGAAGCAGGTAACAGCATTTCTATTTGATGCCTAAGTGTCAATGATCTATCATTAGACTACATACTTAAACACTTTTTGGATACAATCATGCAAAGCTCTGATGTGCAGCGCTTGTCCATGTACAGAAACTGACCAGAAGCAAGGCGTGTGCAGAGGCAGTATTGCATGATGAGTCCATGTTACGCCGGTGCCTGCACTTCTACGGGATGGAAGTCATGCTGCTCTTCAAGATTCTCGACCCCAAGAACCCCAGGTAGGATGATTCAACATTCAAGTTTCTTATCATCATAATGGTAATACAACCATTGTAAATACTCTGGTGTACTAAGAATTTGTTTTTAGAAAAGGCAAGATGTGGAGGCAGTTTAAAACAGCTGCTCTGAAAGCCACAAGCCCCTGTCACACATTTTGAACCTTCCCCCAACCATCAACCAACCAATGTTGGCTGAAATTTGGGAGCAGTCTGACCAGATTATTCAGGCCACGCCTACCATTTTATATGGAATCAAATCAAATTTAAGTTAGACTTGAGTCAAATTTGCTCCCAACATTTTGAACAGTAGCCAACCACAGCTGTACTTGCTCCCGACCCACTCCTAGTTGGGGGGAGTTCAGTGCTGTTGTGTTCAGGAGGCCATATTCAGCTACATGTGTATGTGTGACAGGGGCTTAAGATTCCTTATACTAGCTTACCAATGAAACTATGTATAGATATATGATGATGTTTTCTGTCCCCCAGACCCACCCTACCCCTGGCAGAAGATGTCCCCATGGCGTTTGCGACTCTCCCAGAATTCTATGTGGAGGATCTGGCTGACTTTCTCATGTTTGTGCTACAGTAAGTACAGAATGGTTTTAGTTTGTCACCAAACTTTGAGAAAATGTAAATGCTGTAAAAAATATGATTGATAAGACTCTGTACCACATTTCACATATTTATGATTTTGTTGAAAACAGTGTACCAAAATGTATCTATTTTGACAGTCATAGTTTTGGACTAGAATTCTGTTTTGATGCATTAAACTTTATATTGTTATGTACTATATACTGTATGATGTCCTCCCTTGTTTGACTGAATGTAACATTGTCATGTACTGTAATATGTAATTGCTACAGGACCCCTGTACCCATTTTAGAGCCCTTAGACTCTAGAGTTTAGGGCCAAGTTAACTTGTTAACCACAGTCATCATTCTAAATGTTAAATGTTTGAAAAACAACCATAATGATTCAAACCGTGCTGTTGCCCTCCTCCCAGACATGCTCCCCAGGTCCTGGAGGACCCCTGTAGCCAGGACATTGTCCTGTTCCTGCTGCTCATGGTGGCCACGCCCAAGTACATGCGCAACCCTTACCTCACCTCCAAACTCATCGAGGTGATGTTCGTGGCCAACCCCGCCGTACAGCCGCGTACGGAACGCATCCACGACATGATCGTGTCTCATCCGCTGGCTGCACCGTACCTGGCCCCCGCACTGATAAGGTTCTACTCAGGTAGGTTAATGGGAATAATAACAACCTGCAGTTTGTCAATGAAGGTTAGACATCCTAGTAAGGAGATACACAAATTGTTGCTCAAGCAACATACTCAGGATAGGTTTTGACAGTGGCAGTTATCAGAACCTATCCTGTTGCTTGAGTAACAATTACTTGGATGCTGCAGTTTGCAGCAAATGTTTTGCAGTACCAGGAACAATATACATAAAGAAAAACTTGCTACAAGAGAGCTACATGTATGAATTATAACAGTAAAGAAAATTAAAGACCTGGGATTAGTTTTATATGTGAGCGTCTTGAAAATGCAAAGTTTTACGCAAATCTACATCACATCTTTGAAAAGAGATTGAAGTAAAATTTTTATTCTTTTCTTTCTTTTTTGAAAACATAATTTGCGTTCTGTGAATGTTTGCAGATGTTGAGACAACAGGAGCCAGTAGTGAGTTCTACGACAAGTTCAGCATCCGTTACCACATCAGTATCATCCTCAAGACACTGTGGAAGATCCCAGCTCACCAGAGAACTATCATAGAGGAGAGCAAGTAAGTTCATGTCTGTAAGATGTTACACAATATACAGTGAGGTCTCCCACTCATGACAGACAAAAGTTTTGCCCAGTCTGTCTTCTTTGACAGACAAAAAGCAGTGAAAAGATGTGGAAAGAGATGTCATTAAAGTATGACTAGCTTTAAGTCTACCAGCAAAATATGCCCCTCAAAATGCAGGGAATACATGTAGGGTTAAGATGTCCAATTTTTTCTAAGGGAGCATCCCCCCGGGCCTCCTAGAATTGTTATGCCTCGGGGTTGTTATCATGTTACAAAATTGAGACGATGGAAAAATTTCAGGCTAGCTACAGGACTTAATATGGGAAGAAAAATGTAACAAATAACCACATTAGCTAATTAGATTATCTATAATTCCATAACAATTTTTTCCTCAGCACCGGGAAGGACTTTGTGCGTTTTGTGAACATGCTAATGAACGACACCACCTTCCTGCTGGATGAGAGTCTGGACTCGCTGAAGAGAATCCATGAGACACAGGAGGCCATGAAGGATGTGGCCACGTGGGAGTCTCAGCCACGGGTAAGGGAGAGGAGTCTGGACTCTTGTAGTATCACATGTTGGCAAAAATATTAAAACATTTTACTCAAGACCCTACACTGTACTACAAAGTATCTGCCTTCACAATGCCAAATGTTCACTGTACTTTGCAGGTTTTATGTGGATAGATCTGTAGTTGTTTTGTTTTTTCTCTATTGTTACTTCAACCATGTGCCAGAGATTCCAACCGTAGATTGGAGTCGATGCACCTTTGCAGCAGTTGATGAAGCCCTACCTTTGCAGCATTCTACATGGTATGATTAAATCCTAAATTACACTTCTAAAGAAGTATGCTGCCTGTTGATGACAGCTACATGTAGTGATTGACATTTCCACAAAGTCCAATTGTAGCCAAGCCTGGCCTAGAAGGACGTCTCTTGTGTCAAGACTTGACAAGCATACGATTGAAAACTACCCCATTGACATTTTTCACCAAGTCTGAGTGAAGACATTGCAATCACTTTGAATGGCACAATCAGAGGTAAGCAGGAAGCTGTCAAGGGAAGTGAAATATTTTTGGAGGAGAAAAACAGCTTAACATTACGCACAGATGTCATATCTAGAAGTCTAGAGTTATGGCACAGCTTTGGTACAGTACAAAAAAATCTACAATTTCTTGGCTGGAGAGGGAAAATTCACTTTTGCAAAAATCCCAAAATTCATTGCTTGAATTATATTAAAGAGCCTAGCATGTTGACCTTATGGCACCTATCATAGCTTTTGAGGCTATCATTGGGTGCCTAGGACTGATTTAATTAATTATTATTATTTTATTTTGCCCTGTCGCTTCATAGTTTTTCTGAAGAAAAACGAGAACCAACAAATCAACAGCTAGGCTTGGTACTTGTCACCTCGGTGCCAAACATGTGATTCCTGGCACTGTCTGTGGTTTGGAGTAAGGTGCTCTCAGAAGTGTGAATATGTGATGGGATTTGCTTTGAAGTGTTTTGACTGAGATCTACAGAGGAGACAGTTGTCTACCACCTGTACTCCACCTTCATTCCAAACCCAAAGCAGACTTGACGCTAAATTGTCAAAGAGACGTCCTGACTAGACTGTCTTGTCCCAAGTCCCCATCTCTTACCAGCTGTGTTAAGACAAGTAAATGAGCCCAATGCAGTTTTAGGGCTTGAAAACCATATTTTTCAAAGTCAATATTCTATTAGTTGTCACTTCAATTATTAAGTCACATCTATTATTAAGATTTAGTAAGTAAGTTGAAAGAACACTATCCCAATGTATGAAAGGTACATGTAGTGGATGCCACCTGAAACATCTGACCATTTGCAAAATCATATCCAGTTGCTTAAGTACATTTTGTACTAGACTAAGTAACTGTTTTTTGGCATTATCTTATTACCTGGAGGTCTAACCTTCACCGACATATCCCAATGTATATATCGATGTTTATGGAGCAAAAATTCAAAACATTACCAGTTTTGCCACCCTCAAATTGCATTGGATGCAACCACAAGGGTTTCCAAGCTTACATAAAAATGTATCAGATTCTACTATCTTTCCTATCCATTCCTTTACGTATTTATTTATTTGTGTATTTCTTGAAACAGGATATGCAGGAGAGCCGTCGGCGTCAGCTGAACATAGACGAGCGTCAGTGCCGGTCGTACCTGACTCTAGCCACAGAGACAGTGGACATGTTCCACTACCTCACTGTGCAGATCAAAGAACCCTTCCTCAGACCTGTAAGTGTTGGATGCCACATCTTTCCATCAGTCCTTGAGCACTTAAGATCAAAGTACTAGTATTGGATTAGGATAAATATAGGTATTGTGTTAATTGTCATGTTAAAAATGAATCGAGACCAAGCTAGAGAATTGCAAAGTTAAATCAAGACAGTGGCTATATCTTATATAAACCAGCTTGAGCCTAAACAGTCAAATTTGTTATTCATATGAGGCCATGTTCATTTGATTATGATATGGATGACATCTGCACATGCATGAATTTCCATCCATTTCCAAGAAAAATTTTTGACCATACTACAAATCGTACAAAGCAGCTGCAAAATGAGCAAATATGGCGTAAATTGAAAACAAAAGTATTAGAAAACCATACTTACGTCGTAGAATGCCAAAATCACTTCCAAGGGAAAAGAAAAATGAAAATGAAGAGTTTTAAATTCGCCATGATTATGACCAATCTTGTCCCTTAGAAGTGTAGTGTTTGTTTCGTAACCTTGCCTTGGAAGCAGTCACATAATCCAGCAGGGGTTAACATTATTTCCTCCACGGACACCCTTACAGGAGCTAGCAGACAGACTGGCGGCCATGTTGAACTTCAACCTGCAGCAGCTGTGTGGACCCAAGTGTAAGGACCTGAAGGTACAGAACCCAGAGAAGTTCGGCTTCGAGCCCAAGAGACTGCTGGGACAGCTGATCGACATCTACCTGCACCTGGACTGTGAGAAGTTTGCAGACGCCATAGCAAATGATGAGGTAAGTATTGATTTGGATGAACCAGTGTTCCAGTGATGCCAGGACCCATCTTTCCATCATTTGGCAGAATTTTGCTGCTCGTGGCTTACAAAAATTTTACCCAATCGATCATCATCTTTGATTCAATTGACCAACAAAAATCAGCTTGTATACATGTAGATATTGAAAGCCATAGCAAATGACAAGGTACGTTATTGGGTGGGCCGGCTACACTCTCCTTGCATCCAAGGGCTGAATTGTGAGTAGCTTACATGTACAATCAGTGGGCTAAAACGTAAGGGTCTATAGCGGCTGCCATTCAGCACTAACTCAGATGACTTCAATATCAGAGAATTTTGCCCAGTCTGTCATCTTTCACAGGCAAAAACCATAAAGATATGGAAAGAAATGTCATTAAACTAAGGTTAGTCTGCCAGCAAAATTTGTCCCTCAAAATACTCAGGAAAGCATGCTGTGCAAAAAAGTCTTCTTTCTTTGTCTTCCATCCTTTGTGGGATGCTAGAATCAATAGGACAGACACTCCATGTTCATATCCAGTTGCTTGAGTAAGTGTTTTTTGGTTTGACTCCATATTGTTTATAGGCATGTAGAATGAGACCACTATGTGGTCTGTAAATGTGAAAAATTCATGCATTCCTTTGCCTAACAAATCCTTTGTCCCTTCCGTAGCGCTCCTACAGAAAAGGAGTGTTTGAGGATGCCTGTGGGGTGATGATGAGGGCCATGATTAAGACACAGTCTGAGATCGAGCACTTCGCCAACCTGGCCGAGAGGGTGGAGAAAATCCTGGTGCAGAAACTCAAGAGTGAAGCAGACTTCAGTGATGCACCAGAGGAGTTCAAAGGTAAAACCTTGTAGAGAGCAAGAATCACTGGAGGTGTAGAAAAGTAAAGGACTAGAACACAGAGCTGACTTAAGTAGTAAGGCAATGAGCCAACTTGTATCACAGAATCTGTTTTTCACCTGCAGTTAAGGAATATTTTGTATCTACACAGTACATGCATCTCCTGGGCATATTAGAAAAAGCTATAATTATTCCTGGTAGTTTGAGGAAGCTGAGAATCTCTTTGTTTTCAAAGTTTGAAAAAGAAGAACACATCAGAATCAAACTCTGAACCATCCCTTGCCTTTTGACTTTGGAACCAAACCAGGATGCTTACCACTTTCACTACAGAGTACTTGTATCCTTGTAAGACTGCTAACAACCAAACTTTCGATTGAAAAGATTTTAGAACATTGTTTTGATCTGATGCTAAACCTTGTAAGAATGCTACATAATGATAGCCAAGCTTTTCTTATGAAAGATTGTAGAACATGTCTGAAACCTCTGATGTTTCCCCCCAGATCCGTTGATGGACACCCTGATGGAGGATCCTGTTATCCTCCCCTCCGGTACGGTAATGGACCGTGCCATCATCACCCGCCACCTGCTGAACTCACAGACAGACCCCTTCAACAGGCAGAGTCTCAGGGAGGATGAACTCATTCCTGGTGGGTCTTATTCCTCTTCTACTTCTCCTGCGCTATCAAACATCACTGTCAGTGTCCTCATTCAAGTGGTGAGGGTTGTGACCTCATGTGGCTTCTGAGTCTAAAACTTGAGGCACACTTTGGGCATTTGTGGTCTGTTGTCAGGACTGCTGTTGTTGCTGTTTTGTGTACTAAAGCACCACCTCATTTTTCCTTCAAAGGCTTTAGTAGCTCAAGATATGCGTGTCCTCCAAGTTGTTTTATCAGTAGCCATTGACGGCAGATGGGGTACCTTAATGCCACACCATTTGAGATAAGTTCTGAATATTATATACAGTAATATACAAGTCAATCCTACATATTATCAATTAACATATCAATTTTTCCTCTCCCAACAGCGGATGAACTGAAACAAAGGATAGCAGATTGGAAGAGGGAGAAAATGCAGTGAGCGTGCGTGCGTCAGAAATTCCAGAGATGACAGCGATATGAAGAGAAAATGTACCATTCTGCTCCAATTTTCAGTGTTTGGTTGAGCAATATTTGCTTGCTTACAGCACACTTGTATGTGCTTATACCCCTCTCTGCTACCGAACCTCCCAAATGTCAGTAAATATTAGCTAGTTACTCCAATATTTGACAAGCACTCGTTGATGTTTTGAATGCTCCTAAGACCAGTTTTCATATCTTAAATGAGGAAAGCCAGTTTCCCTCTGCATTTTGAATGTTTGCCTCAAGCCCCTCCGACTTTAGTTTTCCTAGTTGTAAACCTACAGTCATCATCAGAATATTGTGAAGCATACAATTATTGGCCAATAAGTAAAACACCGTAAGTTGGAGCTGTACAGAGGGATGATACTATGTATGACGATGAAGGTTGTGATCCACAGTACATGAATTTGGCTTCACAAGTGATGTCAACACAGAGATCTATGATCCAAAATAAAGGGGGAAGAAGGTGAATTTTTTTCCGGTGAGATTGTCAAGGTAAAATGATTTGTGGGTCGATCTATGAAATATGGAAGGTTCTTGTTGCACTATAGCCGACCATTCAGTTTTCTTTTTGTTGTTCTTTCTTGACTTTGCATTTGACTAACACGGACAATAATGTAAAAGTGTCATGGGCCGTAATTATCATGTCTGATACTAATCCAAAACAATAGGATCATAACTTTTGGTTGGCAAGTTACAAGAAGAATGGACTGTATGTAACTAATCTTAATAAAATTGGGTATATTATATCAAATTATAAGTGCTGAGCAAGAGATTCACCACAAAAAAAGGAGTATGAAAGTTCACAATTATTATATAAAGTTCTTTGCAAATTCATTGTGTACTGTTTAAATAATAACAATTCCAGTATTAAGACACTGCTACTCACTGACATGTACCCGACACTTGCAAACACAAATTGCAATATGTAGTAGTAATGGTCAATAAAACTTGGCTTTACAATATCTGTACATTTTGGTCACTTTAATACCATTATGACATGTGAAGCATAATTTTCTTCAAGCTGCTTGAATGTTTGAAAAAAAATCAAAATGTTATGTTGTTGTAAAATTTCTGTTCCATAGGCACACCAAACAAGTCATGTTTATTTCCAAAATGTGGGAATGAAACTTTTACACCCAACTGGATTATACATGTATTTCACATGTTGTGGAAATGTAATTTTTACATCTAAATGGAATAACACTGTAACACCAAACTTTTCTGGTCCCCTTTCTGGTAATGACACTGTCAAGTTAGGTCAGTACAATACTGTTCTTTGAATGGGTACTTTTATATAGCTAATTATATAACACTGCCAAGTAAAACCATATTTCAGAGCCTCATTCTTCAGACGTCTTTGTTTTTACTCCACATTACCAAAATTTTCCAAGGATATGCGTACTTGTTGTTCATTATAGAAAGGATTTTCTACACATTGGATTTTGGATATCCCTTTCAATTTTAACCCAAGCTTTCATTAATGGTACGCTCTCACACATTAGACATCAAAACAAAGGACACTTGGAGAGATCCTACATTAACAACCAAGACTTTATTCAAAACACCAGCCAACTGATCGGTACTACACATAAGGGAAGAACACACATAATTACCTGTTCTTAGAGAAGTTAGCAGCCAGATACACAATACCACTCTCCAGCATCTCTGAATCATCAACAGATTCTACGCTAGTAGTCAAGCAAACCTTGTCTCTGCATAGTTCTAGATCCGAATGGCATAGCTTTTTAAGACTTTCACACATTTTGGTAAGATTCCCAAGTGTAGAACTCATAACATTCATTGACAAATTTGGTTTGTACGTGCAATAACGAACTAAAATAGAATCGGCAATACTCAGAATTAACACTGAACAAAGCTGAAGAGACATTCAGCTTAGTGTCTGAATACTTGGTGCAAGCCCTAAGTATCTTATTGGCAACATTATAAGTAACTTTACCATAAAAGTGTGCTTTCTTCAGGTTAGGCCACACCAATTTAATTTGTTGGTTCTCGGATTTTTTCAGGAAAAATATGAAGCGACGGCGAAAAAAAATAAAAATAAAAACAGGTCTAGGCATCCTATTATAGGCTTAAATGCTACAAAAGGCTGGGTTAAAATTTAAACTTTGAATTTTGAACTTTTAAATTTAATTTTAATCAAACCACTGCAATGATAGATGGGAAAACTGTAACAACTAGGAAGAAAAGGACTTTCCTCAAGAGTTGGGGACAAAACATGAGCATTTTTCAGTTGATTCAGGACCAGAATCAAATTTTTTTTTTTTTTTTGCAAATCAGAAAAAAACGAAGAGGCGAATCCGAGAACCAACAAATTAAATTGGTGTGGCCTTAGTGCTAACATAACAGATTAACTTAGACGTAAGCAAATCTAGTCCAATTCTAGCAACATACATGTATGCCTTTCTAAGCTTAGTTCATAACATAACAGTAGCTTTCCCTTGTATCTGTATGTACTGTTTTTAGCTTATTTGTGCAACATTTTATGCAATAATTATGATTCCCGTAGCTGCTATCTTTCTGACTATGCATTGCTGGCAACCATAGCAAGTTACAACAATGCCATATAACTATCAAATTGGGTTTGACAGAACTTCTTTCAATAAAAACAAAGGCAAATGTTTTTATATGATAAACCTCTATCAGACTACATTCTACACCTACAAACTAAACCTTACACACACTTTGTTGGGTACTATAGATCCTTTGGGGTAAGTTTGAACCAAGTCATGTCAACATTTTTAATCAACATTAGTCAATACCAATTATGATGGCTAGGTCTACATAAAATAGATTGTAGTTTGAAAATGAAACATACCAGTCAAATTATTTGTGATTTTCTCTGCTTGTACATATGCTCTTAATATGAAAAAGAATCACTAAGCTGTAGTTAGGTAGCTGTTCAGATGTACTTCACAATAGATCATCCCATAGAAGAAAGTTTAATGCCTGTGTTTTTATGATGTTATGCAATAAGACTTACTGCCCTACATATATGATATAGCATGTTTTTGTTTGTTGCACATTTCTGACTACTTCGGTTCCAACAAACATCACAACAAAAGAAAAAACACCTTAACTAAACAGACAATAAACTCAAACTACGTGCTAACACTATTTTTCTCATCACATTTCAGCCACTGATATACGTTTTGACAAATCACATGAAAAAATAGATTCTCTTTATCAAGCCCAAAAGTGGGTAAAACCTGGTCAACACTGACCATAAGACATGGCACAGATAGAAGGCAACAGAGCCTATAATAGAACATGAATAAAAAAGCCATCCTCTGTGCATGTTTTTGGTCCTTTTTGAAGTAGTAGTACTTGGATTTCATAATGTGTTTTATGAAGTACTGGTATCATGTATTCATATTTAGGGCACATTGCAACAATCCAGGATAAGACTTTCCAAGCCAAATATACGATCCCTATGAAGCAAAACTTCCACTTATAATGCCACCATGGATGTTGGAGGTGCATAATATTTTAACAAAACCTTACTTAAACGTCAAAGGTGTGTTAGTAAGTATTAAAGTAAAGTGCCTAAAGCAGATTTGGTCCCTCTTGTTCATTTGGCCCGTCCAGAATTACATTATCTCACAAGCCATTAGCCCTGGTAGAATTTTACAGTAAAAAGAAAAGCTTCAAAGATCGACTCCCTTGTGGTGAGGAATGTGTAAGTACGAGCAGTTCTTTCCAAAATGGCAGCCTGTGGTGCGATAGAAGAAGCACTCCTCTCCGAACTCTGTCTCGACAGGTCCCTTCACCTTCCCCTGCTGGCTAGTGCTCTGTGCCTGGCTGGCCTTGCCGGCCGACTGGCCTCCCCCGTTCTGGTTCCCTGTCTTCAGTTTGGACTTCATCATCAGGAAGTTTCCGTCGGCGTTGATGATGGGGTTGTCAGGGAAACGGATGACCAGCTCCATCCCGCCGACCTCCGTCCCCTGCAGCCCGTCCCGAGCCCGCGTGGCGTCCGCCATGTTTGTAAAGTTCACAAAGGCACAGGTTTTGTTGTGGATGATCTTGATGCTCAGGATGCGCCCGTACTTGCCGAAGAGGGACTGTAGGTCGGCCTGGCTGACTTTGGAGCTGACGTTCCCCACCCACAGGGCAGCACAGGGGGTGGGGGTCGACCCGGGAGCCTTGCCGTGATTGCCGTTCACAGTGACAACCTTCGGCCCAGCCGGCCTTGCTGTAGGAGCCGACAAACGTGTAGAAAACGTTGGCTTCTGTGAGACTGGCGCCTGTGCTACAGTGGCTGCGAACCTTGGTGCAACCTGAGTGGCTCTTGGCACTACCGGATGGAAGGCAGACTTGGAGTGGTTTTGCTTGGGTGGGCTCAGATGCTCGGGGAAGTCCTCTTCGTCGGACATGTAGACTTCAGTATCGAGGGAGCCACTTTGGTTAAATGCTGAGGTTATCAAAGAGTTCAGGGCTGCCTCGACAGTCCCGTGCTGCTTTATTGCTTTGTAGCTTTGCTCGGGTGTAAAGCCCATGTCTGTCAAGACTTTAACGGAGATGGCAGTTATGGGATCCTCTGCAATGGGCTGTTTATTTGGCACTGGCACTGGCGTTTCAACAGGCACTTTAGATGGCAGAGAAAAGGTATCCAGAGATGATATAAAGTTCTGACTCTGCATAGGATGCCAGGAGGGAAAAGTGCCGCCCTGGTTGGTATTGGCGTCAGAATTTGAGTTTTCTATTAACGGCTTGTTTGTAAAGGGGTCGGTTTTATTGGCGTTACGTTTGGGCTGTGTTTCCCAAGGCATGTCGTCAAACTCGCCTGAAATTAAAGCATCCAAGGCTGAATCTAAATGGCCGTGCTGTTTAAAGGCCGCCTCGCTCTGTCTATAAGAAAAGCCCATGTCCATTAAGCGCTGCATGGCGTACGACATGTCGGTTTTGTCGTGAGTTTTCACGGCGGGAGCCTCGCGTGGAACGTGGTCGTCGATGGAGGGGACACTGGGAGGGGGCTGGGGGGGCGTGGGGACCTGGTGTTGAAGAAAACCTGGCGGCAAACTTGGGAAGAGCTGGGACGTTGGGTTAGAGTAGGGAGTAGGGATCTGGGGAGTGGGAACTTCAACGTTCTGCTGAAGAAATAACTGAGGTTGGGAGAAAACAGGACCATTTTGTGGGAGAAATTGACCAAGAGGCTGGGATGTAAAGGGTGTGGGGGCAAGGGGCTGCCCGACAACAAAACCATTTCCCGGCGGATTATTTCTATACCGAGCAAACTGTCGCTGAGCCATAAGGTATTCCACAGCACAATCTAAATTATCATGAATTCTTAAAGCAGCCTCGCTGTCTTCTCTAGAAAACCCCAGTGACATAAGTTGTTGCACCGGATAAGGCACAGTAAGGTTACCATTACTGTCCACCTTTCTTGGTGGAGCCACAGCAGAGCTTAATTCTTTATCAGCTATTTTATCACCATTTGTTTTAGGTGAGGAGGACTTGAGGAGAAAATCTAAAGCTTCCTCCATAGAACCATGAATTTGTACAGCCTCCTCACTAGCCTGCCTAGAAAAGCCTAACTCTACTAGTTGTTCCACAGCCCCCCCTTCTTTGTCAACAGTTTTAACCGCCTCCTCCGCATCCGCGGGCTCGAAATTCAACTCCTCATCAGGACTGGGAGGTTTGGACTCGGTGGAGGCCAGTGAAGATGTCTCGCTCTTCCCTGACTTTGACCTCTTCTTCTTCTTCTTTTTCTTCTGTCCGTTCTGATCCTCTAGGTTAAGGCCTGGAATGTAATGTTCAGGAATGGGAGGGGTCGACCTTTCCGAAATAGGCAACATGTAGGACGCTGGCCACTTCACAACAGGATGGTTAAGGGTTGGCTTCGCCTGCTTGGCTTGCTGTTGTTGTTGTTGGGCTGGCTGTTGGTGTTCTTTCTGTTGTTGTTGTTGTTCTTTCTGCTGTTGTTGTTGTTTGTGTTGTTGTTTTTGTTGTTGCTCCTGCTGCTGTTGGGAGGATCCGCCCTTCTTCTGCTTCTTCTTTTTAGCGGAGGGGTCCTCTTCCGGACGCCACTCTGTGTCCTTCCGCAGGTAGCCTTTCCCACACTTGCACTTACAAACCTGCAGGGGACACATGTGGAAAAACAGCAAGTTAGACACACAAAAAAAATGATTTCACACGTCACATCTTATCACAAATTGTCACAATTCAAAATTGATGCAAATTACGCAGAACATTAAATATATATTCTCTTTTGGCCATGATTTGCAACATCTATCAGGGCTAAAAATACTGGGTGTATATACACCTTAATGCAGGTAAAGCTGCAACTGTGCAGGTATTTCTGGTGTCTACCTGCACCTAACCTGCACTGGTCCATGTACAGTGTATATGCAGGTTAGTGCAGGTAAAATTGGAGCTGTGCATGTATTTCCGATGTCTACCTGCACCTAACTTGCCCTGGTCCATGTACTGGGTCTACATACAAATGTAGGTGTGCATGAATTTTATTTGCTACATTCACTGTTACCATGTATGAAATACATGTAAATAATGGCAATTTGTTTCCTGGACAATTTTTAGTATGATCCATACTTTTCAAGTCAGTATTTTGAGCCCTAGAGATACAAATGACATAAACATCTTTATTTGATGTAGGGACAGGAGGCAGCTGTGATACCAGTTCTAACACCCCCGTAACAAGTTAATTAGCTGCCTGTCCCTTCACAAATTGATGTGCTATTCACAGGTACCTATCCAGTCCATGTAATTATTTATTGAGCTCCTGTTACAATGTATCTAGGAGCTAGCAGAAATGTATACTGTAACTCTGGAAATATTTGCTGTTTGTTCAAGTCCACATTTCTTGCTGAATCAGTTTTTTTAATAACATTTTTGTATACATACATACACATGTCATGTTCACTTTTCTGTTCAATTTGTAAGTCTGGAAGTGATTTATTGAAAAATTCATTGTTTGAATCACAAATCAGTCTGGCATGTTGAGTTCAACTTCATGGCTCCTAAAAAATACTAGTACACACAATGTAGTAGCATTTGGGTCTATTATATATACATGTGTAGGCCTAAGCCTGTTTATTTTCACTTTGGCTTCATATTTTTTTTCTACAAAAAGCTCAACAACAAACAAATTAAATGTGTGGCCTTAACTTAAGGAAGGTCATTTCAGTCACCCCATAGATGTGATTGATTAATTGATCTGAGTAGTTGTGTACATAACAAGAACACCCTACTTCAGACCTTACCGGATGTGCACAGTTACAAACTAATGGACCATGACTGAAGTTCACAAGTGTGAACTTTCACCCCGTGGCTACATGTAGATTAGCACGTACTCATAAAAACGTTCTAAGTACAACTGAAATCTTATCTCTCTCCAGTCTGTGTCTTCTTAAATGTATAAGCAATACAACAATGCCCACATACATTGTAGGTTACATATATGCAATGAATGATCTTCCCTTTGCAAAATTCAAGACATACATGTACCATAGTACAAGTAGCTTTCATTGGCTTTGGATGAGGCTTTCAGACCCTGAATCACAACTAGAATCAACCCTAGATCAAATCATTTAATTTCAAAATCATGTCAACAGTATCAGGCTTCATAGGCATCTCCTATTCCCTAAGTCAAAATTGGATGCCAGAAATACACTCAGCAAATGTACTCCTTCAGTGGACCAACTCCTGTCTTTTTGGCCGATTTCTACTTTTTCCAGCCACTCCTGAAGCCTGGTAGAGGCTACCCAGCCACTCCTGAAGCCTGGTAGAAGCTACATGGACAGATGAGTAGCTGCTGTGATATCCAAGGCCAGGCAGATGAGAGGAGAGGAAAGATTCTGAGAGTTTGATTTCCTGGACAGCTTGAATAATAGATGTAATTAATCTGTTTCCCTGCAGGTGATGTCTCAATTTTCTGTCAGCAACACATCCTGTTAGACTCTCTACAAAGGATGTGTCAAAGACTCAATCTGAATCTGATGACACTACACACAGTTCTCACTATGCTATTTGAGCATAGAAGCCCTCTATGCTGTGATTTGAACCCCCTATGCTGTGATTTGGACCCCTATGCTGTCTTTCAACCAGCATAGGGGAGTTTTGGGGGGGAGACCCTTCAAAAATCTTCAAGAAGATAACTTAAGAATGAAGCTTTAACAAAAGGGGAAACCTTAACTTCACAAAATCTGCCCCTCAATAAGTGAGAAATAGTGTCTCAGGGGGTTATGAGTTTCAACATTTTTCAGGAAGAATACCAGACCCCCTGCTGTGGTCATGTTATGGGGGACTCAATACGGGACTTGCACTGCGAAAGTTGTCCTTTTGTACCGGACCCCTACGCTTTGAGAAAATCCTTGTGAGAACATAATCTTAGATCAGGTTACAATTCAATTTTTCTCAACTTGCCGACTACTAAAAATACTTTAAGCTAGTTACATATATAACATCCTTTTATGTAACCAAGGAGGTTCTAGAACTTGAAGAAGGAATGAAAAATGGATCAGGTATAAAAGATAAATCCAATTTGCAATTTTATTTTCAAGGCAGCAATATGAAAAATATTCCGTATTACTATTAGGAAGATATTTACTAGTCTATGTGTTCTTAGCGAATTTTCGATATCATTTCATACTTTGAAATAGCCCCAAAATGAGTCGAGTGATCGTATGTAAGGAGTCCCTATATTTTTTGGTACCACTAATAAATAGCTAGAACTAGCCTATATGTATGATAATTATGAAACAAGGCCTGTAATATATCATGGCTGTCCATGAGGTATAAATAATGAGATGAAAATGCAGTTTTACTGCTCCAAAATCGCTTTGGGTACCTATAGTAATTTAAAACCCGTAACACAAGTCAGCTTTAAAGATGAGATTGTGTAATGTATTACTGTCAACCTGTTGAAATGTTCCCAGGATTTTTACACAGGTAAGAACATATATAATGGCTGCCCATAAGGTATAAATAATGTGATTTTGAACAGCTGCCAGCAGAAAATGGAGCCATAATACATGTACATGTATGTAAGGATGTAACAATACATGTACAGGCCATGTAAAACACAACAAGGCATACATGAACGAAGGAAAATGCTCCAGGCTAAAGCTGAATTACATTCTTGTGGCACATAAGACGATAGCTTTGCCTTGGAATCTAATACATTCGTGCAATGTATATCCACATCATGCATAATAAGGCACACTTCACTAGTAGTATATTGAGGCTCGATACTACATAGAATATATTACTCTGTAGTCTCTCTTCAAGCAGAGGTTTAGGTTTAGGTTTTGGCTTATTTTTTATTACATGTTATGACTTTTAGATGTTTTCATCTGGCTTTCTTGTACTGTTTTTTTTTTTCGCCAGCCTTGGGGTTGCAAATAGTAACTGCCTGTCAAATAGATACTCCCTGGCCAATTTGATACTGTGCTTGGAGATTAATATCGTTGGCACGTGCTGTGTTGAATCTAATCTGGGTTTTAAAGTTTAAAGGTGTGTCCATTTTGTGACTCTGTTGTTGTCGACAGTGCCCTGGGTAAAGTACACTCTCCTAACATAAAAACTTTCTACATCTTTTTTGAAAATGATACAAAATGTATCACACTACCTGTTAACTCTACATTCATTGATAACATATGGCAAGTCATATTTTGTAGTCATTACTTATGGTTGCAGGTTTAAATTTGGATAGAAATGTGACCATATGGTTAGGATTGTGATTTTCTTTTAATAATAAGTTTTAAGATCATATCCTATACATTCAAAAAAACCTAAATGTAAACAAAGAAAATAATATGACTCCCTGAAAAGTTTGGAATTTCGAAAATTGTTGACACTGATAGCTAAGGCATATGATCAGAAAACCTAATACTTACTGAAACTTTCTGCCACGTACTTCCAGGGGTGGCACCAATAGTATGTTGGTTTAAATTAATCATTCACTACCTTATGAACTTTGATACGCCGCGCATTTAGGTGTAAACAAAACCTCCTTGGTGCAAAGTAGTCCCAACAATTGGGCCAATCAAATAACAGGTAAGATTTACCACAGACCAATTCACCTGTTCAAAGTGAGCAGGAATTTGGCAGGATCTGGTTTTGATCACAATTTTTTAGCTACTATATGTGAAACCAAGGACATTAGACTATATTTTGTTTGTTTGTTTGTTAAGCATAAACGGTAAACCGCCTTTTTTAGGCATAACACACCAGTTTTGTACATGTAAGTACAAGCTGAGTAAGACCGGGCTGTAAGGCTTGAACCACTCACACCGGGAAGGACTCTATTCCAATAACTTAACTCTTTTCGATACCTGCAGTGGGATCTTTGACGTGTGTGGGGTGTGGCTCTCTTCAAACAAGGTTTGAAACAAAATTTGGTGTCGGAACATCAATTCCAACCAAGTCCTTGTTCGAATGTCTGAATCCAGTATTCAAATGTTTGCATGCATGAAACACGTTCAAATTATCCTGTGTGATAATCATTAGAAACCTGTGTGATTTGGCTAATTGTCAGTAACACAGACCAGAACACCTATATATTGAACGTTATTGCAGCACAGGTACAACATAGTAAGAGCTTCTATATATAGTTATACTTATTCACACAAATTATTGCTGGTTTTGGTAGGGAAATCACCTTCCAAACTACCACCCTCTTCTTGCTTACCACCCAATGGTTGTTACGTCATAATTTTGTGGGCGCTCTAAACATAGCATGGCTACTGTGATCTCTTTTTTTAATCAAAAATAGGCTAGACTGTTTTGGCATGAATATGGTAATTGGCTTGTTTGGTAATGCATAGTAATTTGGAAGAAAACAAAAAGACCTATTGTCACGTCTGGTCACTTGGATGAAATTACCTATTGTAATGCATGTTCAATCTGATTTGCCCTACCTCCTGTAGGAATTTGCATTTGTTACATCACACAATCCTGGTCCTGCCCAAGGATATATCATATAAAACCATGTCAAATACTCAAAAGCTTGAAGCACAGTCAGTGAGACTATGGTTTCTATGGGTCAGTTGATGTGCATTGTACGGTATTACATATTTGTACCTGTAAAGAGCTTGAAATCCATCCATGTACACTCTGTGCGTGGGTGGGTGGGTGAGTCTTTCTGCATTTTGAGCAATCCATACCACCAAGGACATAATATACACATCTGTGTATAATGTCCTTGATACCACTGATCCTTTAGTCTTTTTAGTATGCCAAATTACAAGTTGTTTATGTCCAGTTTCTGCAGTTAAATGATGCTTTCTCCAAATCATGTTAGAAGAGAAACAGTACCTGTAAGTAGGACAGGTAGTGTACATACAAGACTGTACAACAGCTTGTAAGTCCTCGATACTAGGCTAACAAATTTGTGTAAAACACTCAAGGCCTAGGAAAAAAATGTTGTGTTCCATGTTTCCCAACCAACCCTATAAAAACCTGCCGACCCTGGAAAATGTTTAGAACATTCAGGTGTGAACGGGATGTTGGCTATGGTTGGAGACAGGTTGGCTGGTGGTTGGGAGTAGGTCTGCAGTGCTTGGGGTTTGAAAGTTTTACTCACCTCAACATGCGCCTTTTTCACCAAGTCATATCCACGAATGGTCCACAGGCTTTCACGACGTTTCTCTTTGGGCCAGCGAAGAAACCTACAACACCAAGAACATGGTGGTACTTTTTATGTCATTTTAATGCAAAATCTCTGCAAACCTGGTAAAAGTTCTAAATATCATGTAAACTGGGGTAGAATGTTAATAAAAACTACTTCTAGTCTTCTGTTTGAAACAGAAAGCAACCCTAATAGACTGTCTGACAGTTGTCGTGGTTGGTTACAAGTTAGAACATGTTACAGTGTTATAGCCAGGCCCTATGCTATAATTTTGACCCTCTATAATTTTGACCCCTATGCAAAATTTCAACCAGCATAGCTGCAGAGGGATATTTTGGGAGGGAGAACCTTCATAAATCTTGCCAAAAAATGAAAATATAACTTTAGAACGAAGCTATAGCAAAGGGAAAACCTTAAGTTCACAAAATCTGTTCCACATTAAACAAGAAATAGTGTCTCACTCTCAGGGGGTTATGAGTTTCAAAACTTTTCGGCTCAAATTATGCGTGATTTGCGCCACGAAAGTTGCTCTTCTGTACCTGACCCCTATGCTATGAAAAATTTTGGCTTAGGAACACTGATGTATGAAACTGTATAAAGAATTTGGTTTCTATCCACAATAAAAATAATGTTGTTGATGACACCAAAATAATGAACACCATATGTTTACAACAACAGCCGTGAAAAAAAACGTGGATATTGACCCGGTTTACACGACGACAAAAACCTGGCGTACGATAATGGCGTACGCACGCGATCGTACGACAATTGCGTACGACCATTTTTTCCAGCGTGTAAACCGGCCCCACCTATCGTACGCACCTATCGTACGCAATTTGCGTACGCCACCTCGAAGGCAGGCGTACGATCGTGTACGATCGCCCAGCGGGGAGTCAGGATGCCTCCCCGCCTCGTGTAAACGCGACTGATCGTACGAACGGCGTTTGCAAGCTCTTCCCTGTTGCAGGAGGTCAGGGGTCATATGCAAATTCCATTCTTCTTCCCAATGTTCCCGCGCCTGTGAAAACCCACGCCGTGTTACTGATCTTTACTCTGTTTTCTCTGATCCGTTTCGGTTTTCCTTTTGTTTTTTTTATCGTATTTGATTTGTTTGTTGTTTTGCTGAGCCTGTTTGCTCGCGACTGCCGCAACTGACAGAAGTGCGCAATAGCTCTAACTGTCACGTTCCCACACTGACCGATCGATCCCGCCTTGAGCTTGAATGATTGCAATGACTGCAAAAATTGCTGCCCGTTGGATCTCATGGCACCGCTCCCTGCGACGTCCAACCCTTCTTCTACGCAATGCCCGGCGACGCAAGTACATCCGCGAAAAGAAGAATAGCAACATCTGACGCATGAAGAACAGAAAAAGAGCCTGTTCTCCCGCCATTTTGAAAATAGCGCTATGTCAAAGCTCGCGGCGGGTCAAATGGGGTCACGATAGTGTGGAGCGCTGCGGGAGTCCCGGCGCTGTCCGTCCCGCTCCGTGTAAACCGGAACGGACGTACGATCGCGTGCGTACGCCATTATCGTACGCCAGGTTTTTGTCGTCGTGTAAACCGGGTCATTGGTACTAATTAGCGCATAAAAGAAGCCATAATGTGTTTCTAAGATCCGACAAGGAGGTCTCTCTAACCTCCTTGGATCCATAGATACATAACACAGAAATAGGAAAGCAATTTGAGGAACTTCGGCATATTTGCGGAAGTCCATAGTAACGTACCTCCCTGTCACTATGCGAGGAGCGCAAGACAGATGGTCTAAAACACTGTCTTCCCACTTGTCAAAACATCTGTCGTGCATGAAGGAGCTCTCGGGGCAGCCCTCGTTACTGCAGATCACTTTCACGGCGTTCCTCGCCAAGTCCAGCGGGTCGTCACACGAGCACTGGACGGGGTGGCAGCAACCCCGCTCCAGCGAGCCCGCGCGGACCCCTCCGTTGGCACTGGTCGAATTTCCCGCCGACTGGTTGGCCGCGCTCTCCCCGCCGTCTCCAGCGCCAGACGACGCCGAGTCCTGCCTCTTCCGTACCTTTCCTCCTCCTTTAGGCATGCTGGCGAGCAACGGTAAAGTTTAACCAACAAATCGCCGAGCTAAAATTAAAAGTTCAGGTGTTAAAGTAAACAAAGATGGCGCACCCAAGTTCGGCCAACCGTTTGTGCACACCTTGCAAAAAGGCTTTCTTTGAGTAGGACGACTTTTCCCGCTCCAAACTCGGCTTCAAATCACTTCCAGAGATTCCTCACAAAACACTAAAATGTCCTATGGTAGCTGAGTAAGTCATGACTGGGAGATACACAACAGAAAAGGCAGTTTTGTTGTTCACAGGAAGGCGCCAAGACAACAACTAGGCACGGTGCTTTGTGCCCACACGCTTCGGGTCGCATGCTAACCTCTGACCTGTGACGTCATGAATTGGCGGCAAACACGCACAAAGGGAAACATCTGGGCCTTTCTAGAAAAAAAAACATAATTCCAGACTGTGACATTTTGGAAATACGTACACAGGAAGGTCTCGGGGTAAATAAGAATCACAACATTTACAAGGAAGTTGACAAGAAAAACTCTTGACAAAGAAAAAATCTCGCACAAAAAAGACGTAGATTCTTATGCATATGGCCCTTTTCCGTAGGGCGTAGCGTAGACGGACCGTTCTAATTCAACGTAGAGCGTAATTGGCGCATTTTACTTTATAAAGGAGGATTACCCCATTTTGCTGCGATCTTGGACGGAATAATCTAAAATTTAATCTAAACATTGCATATAGGTTACGCAATAATGTGTTTGAGTTCTATAGGAAAACTATTGCGTCATGACAAGTACAAACGGACGTCGGACCCCAAAAGTATCAAGTCACAAGTTTTTGTAGTAGAAGCTATGGGAGACAATGTAGAATTACTGAAACTTGTGGTTGGGTTACTCGTATCATGATCAGCAAAGGCCCCATTTAGTGTATCTACGTACAATGATACACATAACATATATGAAGGCTTGTGCTTTGTAACCGCCTATATTGTATATTGTTCGTCTTCAGTGTTAACCCCAATTTGTAAAAGCCTTCGTTTACGATTCCAGATGACCCTTGGCCAATGGGCACCTGTTGGCCGTCCTTGGTGCTTCCCAAGGCCAAACACCTGTCGCGCCATGGGATCAGGTACGCGCGCCCTCATGCGGCATATAACTACACTGCAGTAGCTCCTGTCTATGTCGTAATGCAGGCTGCAAAATCATTGACATTGCAGATAGTTTGGACGAGGTGTGGATTTTTGTTATGCGTACCAGGACTCCTCGGGCGGCTTATCTTTGGACTTTTTCAATGCTTCAGGCAGATTTTAGACACCCAATGCAATTTCAGGGCAGCAGTTTATTCAGTGCCATTTCTTAGCACATTTACGTCATCATTTCACACTTGAAGCAGTTGAAATAGTTTAATTCAAAAACAAGCTACGCGAGCAGTCACTCTATTTTTTGGTACCACCAATAAATAGCTAGAATCATTTTCTATGACACGAAAGAAGCAACCGTTTTAAACTCCACCAACAACATCGGATTTTTGCTACACAGATCTAGATATCAATATGCAATGTGATAGGCTTGATTCAACCAAGGAGGTTAAATCTGATTTTTGACCTCCTTTATTCAACTTACATTAAAGATGACCAGAAAATTGACTTTGAAAATCCATTTTACTGCCCTGAAGACGATTTGAGTGCCTTTAAATCAAAACGGATATGGAGTCTAGGCCTCACAGGTACGACCGTTAGAACAGTACACAGGACGTGACGTCATTGGGAAGATGGACCGATAGTTCATCTGACTCCGCATTGTGGGCGCCCTTTCTCACGGTAATTTAGCCTGGAGAGGTTCCAAATGCGACCACGTCACCTCTCTGCACTACTGTTGTTAGCTGACAGTACCAGTGGATCTCTAAAGTAGATACTATCGTTCAGTTTAACCAAATTTGGCTTAGTCACGATCACTCAAAAGAAACCGATGGCTGTACAGATTTGAGAGTATTTAGGATTAGTATATATGCCTCTAACGATGTAATTGTCAACGCGTAAGTAATATTAATTGTAAGCGATTCATTCCAAAATTCTCAATTCTTAGGAAATTCAGAACCTACCAAGTTCCACTAATATACCAGACGTTATAATACAATCGTAAATACGTTACAATTATTTACTTTTTGTACCATATTCCACCCATTTTGATCAGTTTGCCACCCCCTCCCCTACTACTCTAGCAGAAACGTCTGGAAACGTCTCTAAAGTGGAGCGCTATCTCACAGATCTAGATCTGAAGAAAAATCGGCTCCGAGAAGAGGTAATTCTTCTTACTCCAAGAAGCGAAAATAATTGGATCACATACGCCGAAACCAACCACGTATAACCCTGATGTATTGAAGCTGTCGCATTCATGTGTTAAGAAGTGAGAGAAGCTGCGAAAACCACCAGAAATCATGCTTATATCCAGGCACAAAGCCTAGATTCCCGTATATGTGAAATGAATATTAAAGGGGTTTTGTGAGCAAAGGCAAAATCCCATACTTCATAGACAAAAGCTTAATTCATTAGCTAACTCCATTACACTAGCTGATCACGTAGTGAGGATGTTATCTCGTGTTTAGGAGACTCATAATAGATGTGTTTATGTTGTTCTCGATGGTTATCTTGAAACTGAAATGAGCGCGATATAACGAAGTCAAAAACCGTCCGTAAATCAAACAATTGCGGTGTAATAGTTTAAATGCAAAGTTCTGTGTCATTGTGAATAGGCATATTCGTCATGCGTTTTGCAACTGTGGTGAAGAAAGTCAATGTTCTTCCCAAATCAAGGGATGTATAGGGCGGCGCCCATCTACGTACGTTGTATACCTCTTTGGCCAACACAAATGTGCATGCTTTCAACAGGGGCTAGTCCACTGGTAGCACCGTGTGTTCAATTTTAAGAGAAAGCATCACTTGTAAAAAAAATCGATCTTTGAAATAATGTGTTAGAGGAGTGCTATCTGATTTTTTTTTCTCCTCTTGTGCAGTTGACTATCACTATAATGACTATTAGTTATAGGAACTCTATTTTTAATTTCATTTATCTGGCTTAAATGTTTTGTTATAATTAAATGAATGCGATGAATAACTTGAAATGTAACATTGATATTTGCAAAGCAAATGTTTACCTTCGCATATGGTCTGTTCTAGCTGTTAATTCTTACTCAACCACATTCATATATCTGGTGACAGGAGTCTAAATCCCTCCTGCTATGAAATTGCAACATGATGTAACCCAACACTAGTTACCATAGTGACATACGTCTGGTTCAGGTCATTGACCGTGTTTGGTTGGAGAAGAAGAAGAGGAATAAGAAACAGTGGAGAACAAAAACAACATGTTTTCCTTCTGCGAAGGTAAACATAATTAGGTCTAGTCTTTGTTATGAACCCCAACCTCCCGCATACAAGGCAAGCATACTACTCACGTGCACTAGGCACAACAGCGCGTCGATGGCAAACAGGCAACTGAATAAAAGCGCCACTAAGCTTAATGTGTCGTTAAGAGCTTTGGCGTACTTCCGCGTAGGGACGAATCCCCGCAACTTTAAAGCCGTCCTCGTTATTACAGCTTTGGATATCATCTAACAAGATGGCTCTTTCTGTCATCTTCAATTTGGCGCGTAAAATATGACGCCAGTTTTCCTCAGATTTACCTAACTTCGTTGAAGCGTGACGGTAGAAATTATCGAGCGGGTATTACTGGAAAATCGCACAAAATGAAATGAGTGATTGTGAACACTCAAAAAATACGTGGCAGCGTGAAGCGTAAAAGAAAGTAAACCGTTAAGAAATCCGTTTAAAATCCTAGAACTGGCTTCGAATCAAAATCTTTCCCCAACTTTAATCAAATTTGCATTGGGCCATGTATTACCTACAAAAACTCATCAATATATATATCAGTCATATGTTGCACAAACAGATAGAGCAACGCCCAACAGCAGCAAAACGTATGTACGTACCGAGCAAAATGCAGCAAACTGGATCATTGAGCAAGGGAAGATTTCCTCCTAGATACACAGCTGCCTATATATACGTGGCAGCCTGGCAACTCTCAAAACACACATGGCACCAGCAAGTTGAAAGATACATTTACCAACAGTTTAATCTCCAGAGATACGCAATTTCGACACACGTACAACAGTGATAAGTGATATTTTCCAGTTCCGCCAACTCTGTGTAAATCTTGACAGAAGTAACTTTGAACCGATTAGAGGTGAAACTCAATAAGGACGAGAATGTCAACCAACAATATCAATCAGGGTTGCCATAAATCAGACTACTTCATAATCTCCCCTCCACCTGTAAATCCTGGTCGTAAATGGATAACATGGAGTCACATCAATAATTCAGCACACGGCGGCTCCAGGCGACGTCAGGAGTTATAGAGCAGCTAATTCTGCGTTTGGAGGGGATAGCCTCGATCTCCAGGCCCGTCCGCGGCGGCTTCACGTTCTGCCAGGAGTTATAGATAGCCTCGGTCCACAGGCTCCCCAGTACTGGCGGCTCGAAGCGACATCAGGAGTTATAGTTAAGCTAATTCCAAGTTTGGTGGGGATAGCCTCGGTCCCCAGGCAGGCCCGTGGTGGCTCGACACACAACGTCAGGCATTATAGAGCAGCTAATTCCGCGTTTTATAGCCTCGGTCCCCAGGCTCCCAGCACACGGCGGTTCAAAGCGCCGTCAGGAGTTACAGAGCAGCTAATTCCACGTTTGGTGGGGATAGCCTCGGTCCCCAGGTAAGCCCATGGTGGCTCGACGCGACGTCAAGAGTTATAGAGAAGCTAATTTTGCTGATGGCGAGGAGGAGCCGATGAAAGGGCTCTTTCCAGGCTAATAACGCACGTAGGCTATTTTTGTTTAAACGCTATCATGACAAGACAGTCCACGATAGGAGGACTGCACGAATAAGGACATTGGATCGGTAGATGCTACCTACAAATAAACGTTTGAGCGCATTTTCTGGGCTTATATTAGCCATCCGCGACATTCTAGCCCTGCCTACTTGCTAAATTTATCTGCCATACAGCGGTCATATACGTGCACAGAAAGTCGCACACAATATAAAGTTGCAACGGCAGGGTAATACAATATAATTAACTTATCAACTATAGGGTTGATGCCATTAACGCCTTTGCATCGTAACTGACTAGAGAGAGTGTGATACTTTAGCATACAGTGGAGGGGGTAGCTATAAACCATCCAGTCAAGGACGATAGCTCATAGCAGCCTCCATCGATCACTGGAGGTGCGTTTGCCCTTTGGATGCAGATTGTAAGGCAATAATGATATATGCATGGATTTAACGCCGCGCCATCGTCTAAATATCGCACACTTTGACAATATGGGCCGGTAA